GCGTATGTGTGTTTGTGGGGTGGGGGATGCACATGTCCGTCCCTCCCTCTCTCCCTCCCTCCCTGTTTTCATTACTCCCTCTTTTCCCCTATGAATTTTAGATGCGTCCCATAAGAAAAGTTTATTATATGATTGTGAGACAGGTGTTTTTACATGAACACGAAGTTCCTCCTTGAGTCTCCATATTTACTTTTTTCATAGCTATCTTTTGTGGCAAAATAAGGGAATTCCATATATTTGTCAATTCATAAATCTGATTCATATTTTTGTGATTAATTTTTTATGTCCAAAAGGAATTTTTGTTTTATTTTTTTCCTCTCAAATCCCATAGGTCAAAATATGCTGTTAGTTGCTGCTCTGCAAGCTCGCAACAATGCAAGAGTGGTAGTTTCAGGCTCACTTGAGTTCTTCTCTGATGCCTTCATCATGGCCTCTGTCCAGACACCACAGGTACACAATTGCTGTTTCAGTTAGATATATTAAGCAGAAAAAAAGTTTGTTTTTATGATTTTGAGTACTTCCCTTGTCATGTTACTTTTTGACAAAATATTTCCCTGCTTTTTTATAGTACTAATTGTATTTATTCCACTTCATGAACAGGGTAAGTTCTATGAACGTTCTGGAAATGGCAAAGTGGTAGAAGCTCTTAGTCGCTGGGTATTCCGGGAGGAGGGTGTTCTACGTGTTGTATCTATTGAGCATCATCTTCAAGGAGATTCTCAGCCTCCAGTTGCATACACAATTAAGGAAGATGTGGTAAGTAGAGATTACTTTTCTCTTGATTTTTGTTGATTAAAGTAGTACAATTCAACATTTATTTTGCAAGCCGTGAGCTGCCATTTTTATATAGCTCTTAATAGCAAATTTTCATTCTTTTGCCTCTTCCAATATCAGGAATACAAAATTAAGGTTGAGAGGCTTGTGAATGGCTCGTGGAAACCATTTATGGCAGATGATGTACAGATGGAATTTGTTCGCATTGACCCATTCATCAGGCTGACCATGACACCCAGTCCTGAAGGGGTTTTCTCAGTCAAGTTTACGGTAATGGAAATTTATTATTCTTATATTAAATTTAGTAAAGTTTTCATAATTCTTACATTGTATTATGTCATTATTTTAATGTAAAAGTTCAGTTTAATTTGATTAAATTAATTACTTCATTGTATTGTAAGTTTTTTTTTTTTTATATAAAGTTAGTATTTTCACGGTTTTGGTTATTCCAACATTGAACCACATATGACACAGCTGTGTAATATGGTTGTATAACTTTGTAATTTGGCAGTCATAAGGTCTGTCTATGTACAGATGTTCTCTCTCTCCCTCTCCCTCGCTTTTTAAAAAATCCTGTGTGGTTACAGGTACCTGATGTCTATGGTGTTTACCAGTTCAAGGTGGAGTACAACCGTGTTGGTTTTACACGTCTATACAGTTCCACTCAGGTCAGTATCACTATACAAGTTGAGCACACACTTGTAATCTGTCTTTTTCTTTTAATGGAAAATATAGTTTTTAAAATCTTTCTAGAAACTTGAGCATAATTACATGTTTAACTCATAAACATACAGGAAGAAACATTTATGCTGAAAAACAGGTTTTTGCCATCCCAGTAGCCATGTACATTTCTAATAAATTTTGTGTGTTTTTGCAGGTATCAGTGCGACCATTCACTCACCGAGAGTATGAGAGGTTTATCGAGTGTGCCTACCCATATTATGCAAGTGCCTTCTCAATGATGTTTGGGGTCTGGTTATTTTCCATGGTTTTCTTGCACCACAAAGAACCTATCCCCAAACGTAAGGCAGATTAAGTTTGTTTGTTAACCTCACAAAACTAGTTAACTTCACCATTCCAGCTGTTTCTTTCAGCTGTTTGTGTAAAAAAGATACACAAAAACCATATTCATAAGTTCGTTTGGTATATACAGGATTTTTCACGATTCTTATATTGCAATAGTTTGGAACTTCCAAGTAAATATTCTGATGAAATTTTTTATACAATATGATCATGTGTAAGATTGTTTTCATCACCTTTAAAGTTGCTAGTGAGTCTTTGATCTTTTTTTATTATAATTTATTATTTATTCCACAATATGATGGCTAAAAGTGACTTAGTTCTGTCTGTGTTATATGTGAAATAACTTGCATATTTCTTCAACAACATGTAAACTTGTAATTATTATCCCTGCTATTAAAAGTACTTTAAAGAGAATACTTTTACTTTCCTTTATACCACTTCAGACCCTTTCTATGATCCACATCTTAGAGAGTTGTAGAAAACAAACTTTTTTGTATATTTCAAATATTGTCCAATTAGAATGTATCAAGGGCCTGTATTAGTATTTGATATATTCAAACTAATTGTTGAAAAAGTCTGTATTCAGGGTTTTGTAATCAAACGTTTTGTGCTGAAAAAGAATGAAGATTAGACATGAAAGTTTACTAAGTATTGAAATTCCATGCTTAATTATATTTTGCAAACACACTTGTAGATTTACTAAGGTATGGCATTTGACTTAATCATTTGTATAAGTAAGACTTACAAATGTACTATTCATTGTGTTCTTAAGGCAAGTAATTTCACAAAAAAATAAAGACAATCATAGCTTCCTAGTGTTATGAAAGTGAGATTGGCAGTATATAACCAGTAATAATTTTTCTGTGTATCTGAACATTGCCTTGATATGATGAATTCATCCAGAGATTAATGTCAAGAATAAGAGTAAACAATGTGATGGCTGCTAGGTTGTGCGTTAGGACTTATTACAGAACTTTCATCTTGAATTAGATAGTTAATCACTGCCCCTATCCATAATTTAATACAAAAAATATTTATTAATCAAATGCATGATGACTTAAGCAGTAAGTTGCCATTTGTACTCATAATGCAAATAAGAATCTGTATTGAAAAAGTGCCTATTTAACTTTCTTGGTAAGCATGCTTAGTCAATAACACGGCCTTCAGTAGCCAGGGGAATAACCTTCGTTGATCATAACTGCTGCTCCTCTGGCTTCTAGTGATACGATTTTCCATCTGTTTATGGAACACCAAAATAGTGAAGTTGATATTAAACTCTTCTTAATGGAGAGCATTGAATGTAACGGTTGTGGTAATACACCTACTCGGGTTGTACAGTCCTTCCCAAAGCAGTTTGTACTAACATCCCTTCCTATTAGGGAAATATGGAGAATATTGCATTTCTTGAATCTCAAGATCTTTTAGAAACTATACACTTCAGTACACATTATAATTATTTAATATTTTCGGCGGATATTTAATTTCCATAAGGGAAATCTACGATGAAGGAAACATGGCCAGTAATTGTGGAAGATAAATATATTCATTTGATAGTAAAACAGGCTATAAAATTGTACTAAAATGTAATTACTGAAGAAAGTGTTGGTTGCAGTTCAGATTCTTATAAGCGTACATTTTTCGCAGTTGGATAACCCTGTTGTCCAATTCTGGCTCTCCTTTGCTACTGCTGTGATGGCAGCATTTACGATTATCTGGAGAATCCGTTATATTATATACAGATTGCCAGAGAGAATTAGAGGGGTGGGGGATCGTAACAAAAGCAAACCCAAGCAATGGAACAATATATAGAGATGTATATAATAACGTCACACTTGGATTAAATACACTTAATAGCGTTTTAAGCAGGGGTTCGATTTGTCAAGAATTATTGTCAAGAACTGCAAAGTTTATATAAATATAGACTTTATACCTAGCCACATCCCCCAGCGATAGGGACTAGCGACCCTGTTCTTGAATGCTTCGACACTTGACCTGGGCTCACGGCCCAGACCAGACCTCCTCTCGGGGGTCGCCCCCACACGCGCGTTACCGCTCGGCGTGCCTTTGGGCTCCCCTTTCCCAAAACTGCATCAGCATGAGACAGACCACGCCACGCTACCAGCCACCTGAAAAACAAATAAAGGAAGAAACCAGAACTGTCTCTCCATACACCCACCAAAGTACGCCGTTGGCACTTCTTTCCATTCTCCTTTCTTCGCCAATGTGTGCATGCCGAACGATTTTTTCACAAGTACAGTTTGTTTTTTTTTCAAACATCTAAACAAGTGTCTATGCAAATTGCATTTTCTTCCCTTTTCCAGTATCAACCATGTTTTTTTTCTCTTAGTAGATCATCGTCTTTTTAAGGGAATCCCCATTTTTATCACTTGCGAGAGTCATTTCTTTCTTTGGCGTATTTTTTAAAATCTAATTCGATCATGCTAGAATTAATGCATATATTTGTTGTCTATCCCTATAACGTGCATTTTTCTTATCGCGCATTATTATCTGTTTTTTCGGGCATTCTAGGCCACGTGGCTAGAGTTATAAGTATTGCCATATTACGTTTTTTTTTCTTATTTGTATTATCTCCCATTGTATAAACCGACGTTAATTTCGTCTATTATTTTCAGTGCATTTATTTCGGCTCGGTTTAACCATGCATTTGTGGGATATATTTGAATATTCAAATAACTTAGTGGAATTATGCACAAACAAACATTTCCCCCATGCTTCCCACCTACCCCCATCCCCCTACGATCCCTCCATCCTAAACCCCCTCCCCTTCTAACCCCCATCCGTTGTCTCCCCCCCTCTCTACCTATTTTCAATATTTCTGTTCAGGCCAATAGCATTCAATTATTTTTCGTCGTGTTATTTACTTAAAATACTATTTCTTTTAAAAGAATGCATTAATTTTGGTAGCTGATGACCTGTCTTATTGACTTTTTCTGTCTTGTGACTCCTAGGTTTATTATCCGATGTTATCTTCAAGTTAAGCTTCGAACGTTATATATTGTTTTCTTTTCATATATATAATTATAAAAACACAGTCTATCTTGTTTATTAGTGTGTTTATATGAATATTGAATTCAGTTATTCTTATACATACAAATGTTATACTCATTTTTTCGGGAGCCACTTGGCACATAGTTGTTCAGGTGAAATCAGGTCAGGTCCTGTCAAAGGATGACGATACCTCACTTTTAATGACCTGTATTAGCCCCGATTTTTGAATATTGTGATTTTATCTTTGTAATTTGATTATTTAATTTTGCGATCACTGTGTACCTATTTTTTTTACACATCTAATTTTACAACTATTAGCTCTTGCTATTTTTAACGAAATTCAGATAATAATAACCTCATATGACCTTACTCAGGTAAAATTATCCTTCTCCCACCATCTGACTTCACCCGACTTAAAATACATTCAAGCTATTTGTATTTATTTCTTATTCGGTTATCTCCATGTTAGAGATTAATTATATTATACAGCTACTATGATTTCATATTCGTGATATTCGCTTTCATGAATGATCACTAATTGCGAAACTACCTTGGTTATCCTAACGATTTTCCATTTATTTCCCTCAATACGATAATCGTCAGTATGCCGACCTGATTTTCGAACATTTTCTTCATCAATCAATCTTAATCACGAGCCTCACCTCATCATTATTACATGGTCCTTGGTGACGACCCCCAGCCGGGTATGGATATGTAATTAGCGTTAGGGTAATTAATGTTAAGTTGTCCTGTATGTGCCAAGCTGCACACTTATCGCTAGAGGCGATCTTAGTTCTTATAAGACTATACGTGAAAGATTATCGCTGGTATTCTCCAAGAAGATGGGATGCCCAATTTGCGTTCTGTGTATGTGTTCGTTCGATGATATCCCTTCTACGGTTGAGTCCATCATCACTTTCCTCAGGGAATTTATTTTAAGTATCATTTACAACCACGAGGGTTGTCTTTAGGCTGTCAAATAAGGGAAGCTGACCCACACCTGCTCGCATCATGCGTTGCTCTGCACGCTTATTCTGTTCTGCAACAGACCAGTCACTGTTTCATTCATTTTCCGTACTAATTAAAGTACCATTTTGTATGATTTCGCATAGTAGTTGATTAATATTGCAATTACCGTGTTTATTTTTATTAGCGTGAATGTTTTTTTCATACACTCAGATCTGTGATTATTTTTCATTAAGCTCAACCCAGATTCCCACCCACGCCAACACACCTGACCCCCCTATCCTCACCCTCTTTGACCACCCACCCCATCCTTCTCTTAGCCTCCCGTCCACTCACTCACTCCCCCTTAGCTTCCAACTCCCACTCCATTCTATTTCTTTTTACTCTCGCTCTTACTTTGACAAATTAGTAATGACTCTAAAAACTAAAGAATATCTATCAGCATTCTATTTTATACTGTGTTACTCATTTCATAACTCTCACCCATTAACTTAATCAACTCGCCTACGCAGTCATGTAGCTACATAAACACATTGTCTCTCCTCATTCAAACCACGTTAATTGCACAAGAATTACATGCGTACTCTTTCCGGAAGATAACCGACTTCCGCCAATCATGTATTCTTGTCTTGCATTACGTTTTATGTTTTATCGTGCAAATGTTGTCTTGAGAAAGTATATTTTGATGTAATTAGTCGCTCCCGAAGTATAAGGACTGTATTACCTGTTTTCATTATCGCTTTGCCTCGAATTGCTGTTGGTGATGTGTGATAGACAAATTCAGTGAAATGAAATAGAATATTTACTATTAGTCAGACGTATACTGTATGCACTATTGCACTGCACAACTGTTGAACTTCTGCATTGTTGCATTTTCATTTTTCTCAAGGAAGTTAGTCGTTCAAGACGTTCTTGTGAACTGCGACACCTTTTGCTTCCTTATAGTTCTGCACAATGCTTATCTCTTGTAGATTTTTCCCTTCTGCTATCTGAAATAATTGCAACTCAAGCAAGTCCTTGCGGACTATTGCAATTGTCTCCCAAAGCATGCTCCTCTGTCTATCCTTGGACAGTGAATTATTGAAAATTCATGAAAATTTTTGGAATAACACTCATTGCAATCTGATATATTTTGATTATATCTTACGGCCCTTGCTATCACACAATCCCCCCCCCCCCCCTGTTTGCCCTCCTGTCTCTGCCCTGTCCCTGCCTCCTGTGTACTCATTTCAGAGAACGCCAGCACCATCCCGTCGAGGACGACGGTTAATAGCGTATGTCGAATGATCTGAGGAACGAGGGGTACCTAGCCACGTCCCCAAGCAATAGGGACTACCGACCCTGTTCTTGAATGCTTCGACACTTTACCAGGGCTCACGGCCCTGACCAGACCTCCTCTCGGGGGTCGCCCCCACACGCTCTGTAGTGGACGTGATTTA